CCATGAGTTCTGAGCAATTAGCAGGTTAATGAGACAAGCTCGTCTGCGTCTTAAATCATGTCGGAGATTGGAAATGAGTCAGACTTTCAAAATATCACTTCAGTTCATCTGCGATTATCGACTCCATCACCACTGATAAAACAAGAAGGAGGGTAGTAGGTCGCAGTTAGAAGGATCCGATCGTTCACCTCCTTTGGATATATGAGTGACTGTTCCATCTTTCCACTCAGGTATGTATGGGACTTAAGCAGACACTGAAAAAACGCTGCACGATGTACTGCTGTGATGGGAGCAAGGTTTATAAGTACCTACGGACTGATCTTATCGATCCCCGGGGCCTCATTTCTTGGAGTGACTGTAACTTGCTTACAACAGCTGATTGGGCAAAGGTGACTCTGGATATGCTGTTGATATTTGTTGGGGAGTTGATAGGGCATAAGTTCCATAATGTGTAGACACTAAGCTAAACTGCAGGAGTAGTGAACTCGCGGTGTTCACAGCAATAGTCGCTCGGCGAATGGCCATCTTGTGTGGGGGTATTTCACCCTTAACCATTCTTTCGCCATTCATATACCTGTAAATAAGTTTGGTGCTGCCACTACGTGCAGTGGTTCCTGATTGTTTTGCAATTCTACCGTGTGCTTGGCCGTGTTGATTTATGCACACGTCCAGCAGCCCGGTCCTTTGATAGTAGGTATCCGGTAGGCGCTTGAGGGCTGCGCAAATTGAGTGAAAACGGTTCCAATAGGGAGACTACTGGGTATGAGAAGATGAACCGAGGGAGTGCGCACTACGGACGAGCCCCGATAGAGTAAAAAGGCTGTCTGATGCTTTCCAATTTGGTGCTTAAACTAGCTGGCTTTGAGCTACTGGAAGGAATCAGTACAGTTTCCATTTGGAGTCAATTGCGCCTATCACCGCTTCTAACTCCGACATTGCAACTCGACTCAGTGCATCCGACTGGACCCCTTGCCACTAATATATGCTCACCTCAAAGTTGTTTCTGAAATTATTTGTTTTGCCGAAATGACCGCGAAAGCCGGAGTGCCATAGAACAAACTGCTTTGACGACTTGGCTCTGATGCGGTTTGGCCACTCTCCCGGGCTCTCCGGACACACTGCTACAAGCTGTCCCCGTCAACAGTTCCCTCAACGCATACGGTCGAATGCGGACTAGTGACAGTGGAGAGAAACTTGTCTACTGGACAGTACAGACAAGCTTCTAGCTAATGTCAAAGCTTATGTAACCGATGGAAAAACATGTTCGCATTCTCTATCCTAACAAACGCAACCCTCAAAATTCGTCATGCACATTGGGTGCAGATGGTGCCTCAATCAGCACTCTGGTTGCGACAGTGCGACAATATGACACTTGCGTGTTTATCCCCGTGGCTTTATTGATCGTCCGCAGCGTGACAAAGCCAGCAGGATACGAGTATTTGCCATTACTGTGGCGCCTGGACTGCTTGTTTTCCCGTAATTAGCTACATGTAGTACTGACATCCGTGAATGAGTGGGTTGCCGGAGAATGTGGTGCGGTTTTATGCAAATATGGAGACTGTCTGCGTGTATGTAATTGCAGTTAGATGGAACCGCTAAGCGAATTGAAACAGAAAACTAGGGAATTAGCTTATCTGATGATGGCAGTGAATGAAGGCTTGTCGTCACATAACCATACCAATATGAACGAAAGTCGTGAGGATTTTACGGGTAAACAAAATATTGAAATGTGATCGATTGCAATGGCCCGCCGTGGATATACCCATTACCCTAGCGATAACTTTCACATCGACCAGAGACAGAGGTCACGCTAGCAGTTAAGCTGTTCCAGTAATATAAGGAAGCCGCACTGAAATGTCATAAGAGTAGGTCGCGTCGCAAACTATGGACATCCATTTCACGCGGTGGTGAGGTCATTGAACTTTCAATTCAGCTTAACAACGAATCACTTATCCTCGGGTGTTGGAAGGGATCGCGTCTCTCTCACATAGCAAGTAAGTGTATCTGTATCAATCAGCAATAGTGTGACTCTAGATGTTCCTTCCGTTTCCCGTATCCCAAACTAATCACGGAGTGGTTGATGACAGCAGGTACCCAGTATAGAAAAATAACTTCGGTGTCCAACTGAATGGTATTGCATGAGGATTACAGCACGTGGTTTTCTAATGAGGCCAAATGAAACGTTCAACAGTGCCATATTGGCAAACTTCCTTCCTGTTGGATAGAACAAACAATGGTACTTATAAAACTAGTGTAAAGGCTGTTTGCACGCAACGGAGTTGCCTGCGAGAATATCGGAACGACCCGGAATACTGAGCGCTGTCAAGACTTTCTGTGATAGCGACGCGTGCGTTAGACATAAGGCATGAAATTCACTTTGATCATATCTGAATTATTAGGAGGGCGTTGCTGTCAACACCACAGAGGCTATTTGTTGAAACGGTGGAGGCACAGAGTTACTAGCTGTGAGAGTAGAATTGGCGGAGTGCAGCTCTCGTAAGCTTAGCTATCAGCCTTAATTGAGCCAGTGAATGTGTTCGGACTTAAGATAGAAGCTCATCACGACTTCCACCATAGCAGTCACGATTCAAGGTGATATTCAATTAGTAACCTAAACAATCTTATCTCATTGGCCACTTGAGATGACAGCCAGACATGCACCGTTTTTGTCCCATGAATAACACCTTGTTACTAATGTTGTTCACCCTTACCATAACTTGCTGCGTACTTCCATGCGATTTCACTTGGCCTGACAATATTTTGTGTCGAAAGTGGGACGCGAATGCACATACACATGCAACGGTGGATTGAATTGAAGCCCACACACATATTCTGGGAATGGATTGTCATGCGCGATCCCCACATAGACCGCGAACACCACTGAGAGTAATCTCAGTTTGCGCGGTCACTAGTCCAGTCTCTGAAGCTGGAGAATGTTTGGTGCTTCCTTTGCAGGTAAGTGTGTCGGCCGGTGGCCGAGTGGTCTGCACGTTTGCTTTGCAACCATAAGGTCACCGGTTCGAATCCGCGTAGGGGTGGGCGTCCTCGCGGTATACTCAGCCCGCGCGCGACTGGTGGTGGTCGCGCGGCAGCGAAGCGCCGTTACGGCGTATAAGCTGACACATTTCCTTTCATTCATTCATTGCAGGTAAGTAAGCCACTAACTAAAGTCTTTAAGGTTCGTTTTACCGGAAGAGACACATGTGCACTGAAGGAGACACACGTGAAACGCACCATTTCTTATTAGCTGATCTTGTAGGCGAACAAGGAACAACCGTTGTGACTATGGAAGAACTATATTCCAGACAACTTAGGTTGGCATGCCTTTCCCCTCTATTTTCATCGGTCGTTTAATTGTAATTTATTGTTGTATCATTTGGCATGAAGGTGTCAATAACGAACGCTCCATAGATGAGAAGATACCGCCTTGATAACTCTCGCTGACATTAATGTCATCGATGAGGAGTTTCCACCCCCATCTCTTTACGTAAACTGTTGTATTTCTAACTTCTGATGCGGTCAGAATGCGTTTTGCGGTGGAAACCAGCAACAGAAAAATAGCATGACGGAACAGGTTGTTTTATCCCTACTTTTCGGTCGTATTTGTAACGTAAACTCAGCAGATTTACATGCCGTTCTTTACCCAGACCATTTTCAACACCATCCATGATGATTTTTAAGTATCTGCTGGTAGAGGGATATCTCCAGAACCACAATCAGCTTGAACTGGAACCGGTGGGTGGGAACTGAAAGCCGCGGTTTCCCGTGTGCCGTGTTCTGTTTTCGGACACTCTGCACGTAAACCTCCGTGATTTGTTTACAATTCAACAATTTGCGTATTCGATTGGTATAGTACTGATCTCCTTTAGGTACCAGTTAGCTTCTTATAACCTTCCTTTCAAGCAAGTAACCCATTTGTTATCATCCTGTACCCTATTTGCTGATGCAGTCGTCTGGTGACCATGATATCTGGAGGGCTGGGGCCACTAGAATCCTCAGTACGCTCATCATTGGCTCCATATTTTCAACGGCTGTCCGCGCGCTTGAGTGAATTTTGCATAACACATTCCGTACTTATATCCAGTTGTCCCTCTAGCTCATCCAGGACCCGGAACAATCTCCTCCCTTTAGCCATCTGGGCGATAGCTTTTATAATTCAACAACAATGTCCTTGCATCAGTCATTTGAATTGATGCTCCCGCAGCTATAAACCCACAATGACGAACGGAAGGATGAACAATAAGGTGAGAGAAGCGGGAGATAGGTAAAACTCAATTGCTGTAAGCAAACATTCAAGGTCAAGGCGCTGCACCTTGTCGACAATGTAGTTACAAACAGCATGCAATGCGTTTGAATAGGCATACAATCAACATTGTGGGGCCTAATTCCCTTAATATCACACGGATTTTATTCTCCGGTGATCACTTTTGCAAACAAGTAGCAGTATCGATCAGGAGTTTCATTGAATCCATCTCGTTGTTTATTTCATGCACTGATATTTAAACAGAACTTTTCCCATATCAGTGAATGACTGCTGTACCAACAAATTGCCTCACCAGACAGCGCTTTCGTTGTCGTCATACATCCCCTGAGCGAGCCGCGCTCATTATTGGCTATGTTAACAAGCAGTTATTACCAGCAGTAAGCGTAAACCAATCACCTCTATCACGGTGACCTCAGTTACATTGGCTGCGGTGGGATGACTTTCAGACGAATCATGTTCCATGTGACAAGCTGACATGCGCAGACAAACACAATTGCATCGTCCCCCTCTCACCACGCACTCAGCCGAAAACCAACCAACAGACGCCAACCGGGACGTGCCACACACCATAGCAGATACCCAAAACTAAGGTGGACATTTGTCCCCACCGTGTTCCACTGGAAGGGCAGGGGGTGGGAAAGACGTCTAACCGATAACCTGGGTCGACATTTCTGAACATAGTTATAAACTACTTGCTTACGTAGGCTTTCCGATAATTCAGTGAACCCAGTCCTGAATGGCGCATATAATTTCCCAGCAAAGTGGCAATGGATTTGTGAGCGCCTTCAGTATTCGCTCAGTACTAGATTTGCCATCCACCCAGTCTGATGGTGAAGGCAACGTGGAAGATAGTAATTCCCTCATAACTGGAATCGGAGGCGCTTCAGTTACAGATGATCAACCAACCATTTCTGAACGTGTGCAAAAAGGATGTGCGTTACATCACATGCGCGGCCAAAGTGTACGCGGAACCAGTCGGTCCAGTGCGAACAAGTTACCAGTTCGGTCGACAAGGACAACTGGTGATGAGCATCGTTGCCAGCAGTTACTGCTCACCTTACCAGATAACTCACACACAACTTTAACCTTGGATTTCCCTCCAGACGGTTCGTTGCTTCCAAAGTCCTCACCCTCTTCGCGCTTCCATCAGACTTGTTCGCAGTCCCAAGCGAACTGTCCACTACCAGCACATTCAGTTTCGGGCCAGTTAGATGAGGAGAACTGTGAACCGTTCGGAAAAAAGATCAACGCAGAGGAGACGGGGAAAGATGGTACAAAAAGCGCACTCAAGAGCAACGAGAAACCTCCATTCAGTTACAATGCTCTTATCATGATGGCTATCCGTAGCAGTGCAGAAAAGCGCCTCACGCTGAATGGGATTTATGATTTTATAACAACGAATTTTCCGTACTACAAAGACAACAAGCAGGGATGGCAAAATTCCATACGACATAATCTATCGCTAAACAAGTGTTTTGTTAAAGTACCTCGTGCATACGACGACCCCGGAAAGGGAAACTATTGGATGCTGGATCCTTCTTGTGAAGACGTGTACATTGGTGGAGCTACGGGGAAACTGAGGCGTCGGACTAGTTCGATGCAGCGCAATCGATTCTTCAGCCTTCGATTGGCCAGTTATTATAGCGCATTAGCTAAAAACTACCCCTTACTGGGGGGACAACGTATTCCGGATTTCTCTCCGACTGAATCATATTATCCCGGTTTCCCAATTGCAATGGAATCGCACGCATTTCCACACGTTCAGAGTGTCTGTGCGTCACCCTTCCTACCGGTCCCGCATAATTTAGCGTTGTTGGGATCCTATGGTTTGCTTACAAACGGTTCGACATCTGAATTCTTCGGCCGGCTCGTTCCCGAGTTTCATCCATTCTTGTCCACAGTTCCATCACCAAGCCCTGATGGTGCGATCGCAATTACCAATCAGCAAACAACTTTCATCCCTGTCCAGCCTGATAACCCCCTACGGCGGGCGCAGGAAATCTGGTCATCACCATCTTCAAAGGAGCATGGTTCGTTTGGTGAACAGGACTGGATTCCACATTCAGTGCCGGAGGACCATATTTCTACCACCAATTCTACTCTCAAACGTGGGCCGGAGTCGATATGCTCAAAGGAGGCGTCGTTCACGAACCCCAAAGTGGAGGCTGTCCGCTCTTGTGCACAATCGTTGTACGGGATCAAGACTTATCCTGACGAAGGATGGGCCACTTGTAGAATCAAACGAAGCAAATCACACAAAAGTAGCAGCCCCAAACCAGTAGTTCCTTACCCTATCACGGCGTCGTATCAGTCAGAATCCGCTCAATGCAGAGATAAGACTCCAACAGTCAGTGAATTTGCTGCTGAGCAGTTATGGCTCCGTCTTCTCCAGCCCCATACATAGTTGAAAACTATAAAACTTTCATGACACAACCGCCGTTACACAACTGTACTGAGCGCCTTCTGTCAATGGTCTGGCCGCCGGCAGAAACAGCCATCAACATGGGACATGGTCCTGTAAGTCATAAATGTTTATGATAAGTGCACATATCCCAACTCTAGTCCTCACATTGTGTCAGACTTGAACAAATTTTAATTTATCAGACAATTATAACCAGCAGATTTTATTCACATACACGTTTTGCAGTAAATTCACCACGCTTTTTTCATTGTCAGCTAGATCACTGATCACTGAACCGGCGATAATAATTTCTGACTGATCAAACACTATTAAAGGACGCATGTTAAGAATTATTGTTCAGCATCATCAACAGATCGCGACAGGCATGTCTTCTTAAATGTTACGATGTTTAGTGTGTAGATGTAAAATTTCAGGCGTTTATAGGCTGTCTAATCACTGGGCTCTTCAGTGAGCTGTGGTGCAATTAAACGTTTGAGTAACATACGCCAAAGTTAAACAACGCGAAGCTCAACTCAGTCCAACTGTAGACTCTGTCCACGCAATCGAGGTGAAAGTGAAACTTCCAGAAATTTGTGTAAACAGTACTCAATAAGTCAGTAGCAATGCGAATAGGTGAACGTCGCATAGTTGGTCTCGAAAAAGTGACACCGAAGGGTAGCATACAGCCGTGTCTTCAAAAGGCTAATTTTCTAAATGTCAATTCTTTAGCTTTTAAGAACAAACCAAGAAAACGGTTTACTGACACTAGCTGACGCAACCAAGCTGGTCGGAAGATTTGATGATCTGACTCCCAGTTTTACCAAGATCGCATTCAAATTGTGCATTTGTTGTCTGTGTTGGAAGGAATAGCGAGGACTTGGTAGCTACCAGTAAATCACGGTCTACATGAATAGGACGATCATTTGTGTTTCCTATAACGTTGAACCCATATGCAGTTACTCCCAAATTTCATTGGTATAGAATGTGTCCTCATTCTGAACCGTCAGTGTACTCGCTTCGGACCAATCTTACGGTGCACTCCTTGGTGCGGCAGTCAAGCTACTCGGTGGAGTTTTAAAAGCTATGACTCCTTCCCACCAAGCCAATCTATACATGAGTTACCCATGTAGATCAAGCAACTATTGCTAAACCGCTGACTTATTTGCAAGTGCATCTGTTTGCCTTAACTGACTGATTACCATAGTGTAGTTCTACCATCTACATCCTTAGCACCGGAATGCATAGTACTCTTTTGCAATCAGACCACGCAGTGGGTAACGTTGACCGATTTCACTAGAGTTCGCACGTGAAGTGAGCTAGGTTAACAGACCACACCTTCATTTATTCTGGCTATTAAAGTGGTAACGTTTACTCTAATCCCCGAGTTTCGGGTATCAAACTAGCACCAACTGGTCCAACTTTTCGGTATTGGTTATATGCTTCCGGCCATGCCGATGCAATTGCCGTACGTGAACGTGGAGTGCGCGTCGTTCGCAAACCCTGTTGACTGTTTCCGTGAAGAAATTTGTCTAGACAATTTGCTCGGTAATACCGGCTAAGGAGGAGATCCGCAATAGAGGTAGATGCTATTTGTTTATGATTCCTGCCTATGCTGCCATTAACTGCAGTCCTGATACTACTGGAGACACATGCTACCACTAAGTTGGGAGCGTGATGCGGAATGCCACTGTCTCGAGGCTGTCACCCCATCGCACGCGCAAGCAGATGGAATAAATTCCTCAGAATCCCTACCAGATGGAAAGTATGGGAAAAATGCTGAACACACGGCTAGTGTGGGTCGTATAGGTATTGTAACTGCGCATCGATCATCACCTGTTGGTAATCAGGACAAGCTTCGGACACATTGTACATTGAGGTGTCACTAGCTTTCACCCAATAGCGACTTCTGAACAGATATAATTTAACCACATGGCTAAAAACTTTAGGCAACATGGTTCCATTCTTAAATACTACAAGATTTAGGACAGGTTTGTCGGCTCTGATGAGATATTAACATGTCTTCATCATCATCTTCATACACGTCAGCTAGAGGTGGGAAACACCTCAGCTACTGTGCCGCAATACATAATTGAAAAAGGAAAATAAATACAAAAGTTGCATGCCAGCTGAGCTATCAGCAACGGATAGGTATCGTTCCGGTAAGCTACCAGCCGGCTACTAGGAAAAAAATATTGTGTTTTACGCTACGAACTGAGATCGTAGGTGGAGGGGGAGGCTAAAAGGGATGGTGAGGGACAAAGAAACTCACAGTACGAACGCCACTGAGGTCGGCTCCTTGCCATGTCAGCAAGTGTATCCAACCAAACGTGTTCACTGTCTTTCGGACCCCAACCAGGGAGCCGAGAAGCTCCAACCGAGGCCAGTTCAGAAGTGAGGGCCTTCATTCCTCTCGAGCAAGTCATCGCTTGGCCACCCCTCCTCTTCTCCCATCCACCTCCCTGGTGAGCAAACAACACACGTCGTGGAAGTCGGTGGGCTGGCATGCGTAACACGTGGCCGAGCCATCGGAGGCTGGTGCGTGAAATGACGGTGTTGAGCGGTTCATTTCCTTTTCCTGTGCCGTAAACAAGGCGTCGAACACGTTCGTTACTCACGCGGTGTTCCCACCAGATATGAGCCAAACTGCGAAGGCACCGGTGTTCGAACGTAACTAGCCTCTTTATGTCTGCTGATTTAAGGGGTCCAGGATTCGCAACCGTACAGTAAGGTCGAACGTACCGCTGCATTGTACACTGCACCCTTCAGGGCGAGAGTAATGTCGTGCCGTCGCCATAGGTGGCAAAGGTTAGCGAAAGCACTTCGAGCTTTTGTTATACGGTTCGTGATCTCATCTTCGATCCCAAGGGCGCTGATACAACTTCCCAGGTAGTTGAATTTCCGAACGAGTTCTAGCTGATCCCCACCAAGAGTCAGCGCAGGAGGCGATCCCTGCCATGTCATCAATTTTCTCTGAACTAATTTGGGAGCTAGCATACGATCTCCATAGCTGGTAACCTAAGAAGTACTTTAGTTCTCGTCTATAAAAGCACCCTAACATACTCTACGTGCAATGCCTTCGCTGTTTCTTTGTGAACACTGTTTCATTGGAATAGTACTTTCGATTCAATGTCGGAGATTCTACCCCGCGATTACCAGCTATCATTGCATAGAACACTCGATGTTCGAGATACCCTCGAACTTATATTCAGCAGATGAATGACTGTTGGTACCGAGCATAATGTTACCAGATGGGTCGTCAGGTGCAATCTAAATCAGAGTCTGTGATGTGGCAAGGCAAATGGTACGTGTAGGACCCTCAGAGAACACAGGACATAGAGAGTAGTAGGAGGGAGTTGAATGGTATAGGTAGAAATTCGTCACATCTGAGTGAATAAAGATGTGCCGAATTTCTACCTTTACCATTCAACTCCCCCTACTAATCCTCTGTAATCGGTACGCAGACCAAACTGCTTGTAGTCTCACAGGTTAATTGGCGGCTTAAGTTTGGTAAGTTCGTCGCTTGGTGAGGGGGTTACCATGTCCTCTGCACCGAAGTAACGTGTAAGTCAGTGGATAGTGAGCGGCGCTATATCACAACTAGTAACTTAGTCGCGATGGTTGTTGCCGTCCCCCGTAGCTCAGTGGTCTCAACCACTGACTGGCAACAGTCGAATTGCGGGTTCGCGCCGTAGCAGGGTCCGATAGAATGCGCACTGCTGACGATTCCCGAAAGGATGAAACTCGCGTACAGTCCTTTTCCGGGCGTGTGACGACTGTCTGAGTGCGTCTAGATGTGTCGAATTTCTACCAATACCGGATACGTTGAGGCAGATGATGAACAATTAACAATGGATTATCACCGGTCCAAAAGCATGTGCTTGACAAGTCCCGTAGGATGGTTGGAGTAAAATTTAAAATTTAAAGGATTAAATAATATAAACTGTCGTTATATTTCAGTAAATACGTGAGAAGGCAAAAAAGAAACGACAACGCTGACTCGTGTGTTGCTTCATTTGACAGATGTGATAAGTTAATCCAGTTTAGATACGTCCAGGCTACTCACATGGACACTTCTGCATGTATCATCACCGCCACTTTTCGGAGTGGGTCGTTAAGCACATGGTTAGGTTTGCGTTGTTTCGTCCTCCAAGTGGAACGGACTATATCAAGTAATGCAAGTTTGAAAGCGTTTTATCAAGACGTTTTTTGGATAGCATCAAGGTAGGGGAGGGATAACGTGAGTCGGAAGGGCATTCTAGGTACGGGACACACGGAGGGAGAAAAGGTTTCGTCGACAACCAAGTCGACTGTAGTGCGTAACCAGTTTGAGCTGATGGCCTCTCAGGTTGGTATTTTGGCTCAGCTGCAACAGACTACGGCATGGGTGAGTCAGTTTCGTGGGTATTAAGCAAACAATGATTAGGTTTCCTCGCTGACATTGATATGCTCCACTGTACGATCTCAGGGACTGCAGTCTTTGTTGGTAGGAGAGATGAAACAATCCTCTAACGAGTTTGGTCGCTCTACGTTGTGGGGCTTCAAGTGCAGCGACGCGCTTGCACCAGGAACGCCAAGCCCGGATCACAGATCCCACGTGAGGCCTCACGTGAGCGTCCAGCGTTTGCGGAAAGATTGATGACTCGGCATGCCCGAAAGCTCTCCGTAAGAGTCCGTAAGAGATGAAATGTATGGTCTCTTCTATTTGACCTGGAGCACCAGCCTCAGAAGGTTATCGGTCCGTGAGATGATCAAGGACAGTTCCCAAGCTATGACCAATCTTCTGACACAATGAGCACATCACCTTCAAAAACAGTTTAGCTGCTCGTCTACGCTTGAGCAGCTCGTCAACCAATGTCCTACTCTGAAATTTAGGCGGTTTGTTGAGAAGCATTTGCTGCGGTTGACATTCATAATATGGTCACATCTCAAATTTTTCTCCGGTATCTCTTGTGCGCTTGCTCTGTTTGCATGGTCATCAGATTATCTGCAATGCACTGACCCAC